AACAGCATCTGTCTTTTTGACAAGAATAATGATAAGAAATACAAGTCATTCCAGCTATTCTTGCATCTTGGAATGACCTATCTCCTATCACTTATTGTCTATAGATTATTACCTATCTCCATTCTCCCCTTCAACCTTTTTGAAGTAGCTGTATAATATTAATTAATAGCTATTTTATGTTATTTGCTCAAGACTGACCAAGAGAATTGCCATGGACTGTGAATTCGTTGGGGTTGGCCGAGATGGCAAGAGAAACATGCTGGCTCATGTGTCTGTCGTTAATTCCCATGGGTGTACAGTATACGACGAGTATGTGGCACCTAGAGAGACTGTGACTGACTACAGGACTGCTGTGAGTGGGGTGAGATCGTCAGACCTCAAAAATGGTTAGTCTAGACTTATCAGCATTAATACAATCATCAATGATGATCATTATGACACACTACAGACTCATTCATAAAGGTTTAGCCTCGTTTAAGAGCAAATTATTTGCAAAAGCCAATTCTAATGTCAAGTATGTTGTGCAAGTTGAACAATACCAATATTTTGAAATCTAACAGACTTTTAATGGTATCTGATGAATTGCGCCATTATTTAAGCCCAGTATCAGTCAGTCATCATCACGAACATCACCATCAACAGTCATCAGTCATCATCACCAACATCACCATCACCAGCGTCCCCATCATCAGTCATCATCATCAAAAAACATCACCATCATCATCACAAACATCACCATCAACAGTGATCAGTCATCATCAACAGCGATCATTCATCATCACCATCACTAACATCACCATCAACAGTGATCATTCATCATCACCATCACCATAAACAGTGATCAGTCATCAATCATCATTGTCAYGCTCATCATTCACCTTTGGGTCCGAGTTATGACACATCTACATAGTTCCTCAACACATTTCCCAGGTTACTTCAAGTTCCTCTTGTTTTTCAGCACCAGATTTCAAGACTGTGCAGAAGGAAGTAGCTGATATGTTGAAGGGACGTATCTTGATTGGACATGCCATCAAAAATGATTTGCAGGTATGTTTGACCAGAAAATAAATAAATGATATCTTTGTTTCATCGATTAAGAACAAACCAATGTTATGCATATAAAAGAAATAAAAAAGGAAATTTGCGCAAGTAAAAACATTGCAATGTTGATTAAAACTAGTTAAGAATATTATAAAGCTAAGGCGTACTTAAGAAACACTAAGAAAAGGGGAGAGATTGGTAATAACTGTAGCTTCATGTTTCTGTGACCTAACCGACTCCAGACATTTGGCATTTTGGCTCCCATCAATCACATTTGCAACAGGGTGAGTGCATGCTGATCATAAGCAAGTCCACTGGAATATTTATTGGAATATTTAAGCCTGGTTCACACGAGCAATGCAAGCGCAAACGCAAGGAAAATACGTGTGAACTACAGTAACACAAACACAAATGCAAACGAGAGGAATGGAAACTTTTTCATTTTCTTGTGCTTGTGCTTGCGTTTGTGTTTGCGTTTTTAACGTGTGAGCCAAAGAAAACTCATAGTAGTCAAGCCATCAAAAATCAACTCAATGGTTCACATGAGCAACGCAAACGCAAGGGAAATATGTGTGAACTGTAAACGAGCAGTACTGCACATGCGTATCTTAATTTACTTGCATTTGCGTTGCACGTGTGAACATTGCTTGCGTTTGCGCTTGCATTGCTCGTGTGAACCAGGCTTTACAGTAAAACGTTTGGGAAATAATAACTCAAAATGTTCAATGTCCTCACTGTTTATAACCAGGGGTTGCAATGTTTGCATAAGAGGCAAGTGCTTTCACTATTATATGCCATGTATGCTTGCTTGCTTGCTTCCTACTTCTAATTCCTTATCACCTTTGCGCATGTTGTAGGTCTTGTTTTTGGACCATCCTAAGAAGGACATAAGAGACACAGCCAAATATAAGCCCTTCCACAAAATAGCCAAGGTAGCATAACATTAATATTTATTGAGCACTTATTCATCTCTGCGCTAAGCGTAGGCATATCTAGAAAAACTAATACAAGGGTATAAAATTACAAAAGTGAAAAAACTCAACAATCAAACCCTTTTTGGACCTTTCCGTGGTGGTCCCAAAACCTGCCTGTAGCACCCCACATCCATTCTTTAAGAAAATAACCTTTGTATGACCCATATGGAGGGTTTTGCAAAGATAGAGGGCTAAAATACTTTGCTCACATAACATTAATATTTGTGATTGTCATTAGAGCCAGTATCCATCCCTAAAGAAGCTCAGCCAAGAGATCCTGCATGCTAGAATACAAGAGGGTGAACACTCATCGGTAAGTTTAATGACTGAGTGACTAATTGTCTGAGTGTCTGTGACTGTCTGACTGACTGACCAAACGACCAATTAACTGATTGGCTGACCGACTTGCAGACAAACTGACTGGACTAATAATACTAAGGTTAATCGGCCAACTGACTGAATAACCATTTTGTCTTTGTGACAAACTGACCGACCCAACTGGTTATGTTGGTTGGAAAGTCAGTGCATCAGTTGGTGAGGATAACGGTGATCGTGATGATGATGGGGCCCAATGATGATGATAGTGAGGATGATGGTGATGATGATGATGGGGATGATGATGATGGCGATGATGATGATGGGGATGATGATGATGGTGATGATGATGATGATGGCGATGATGATGATGATGGCGATGATGATGATGGTGATGTTGATGAAGATGATGATGATGGTGATGTTGTTTAGGTTAATGATGATGATGATGGTGGTGGTGGTGATGATGTTAATGATATGATGATAATGACTAACGATGGTGCTGATAATGGTTTCAATGATGATTTCGGATGACGCTATGATTGTGGTAATGATGACTGATGATGGTGACTAACCATGGTGGGGATGATGGTTTCTGTGATGACAATGATAATGATAGATGATGATGATGATGATAACTGATAATGATGATAATTCATAATATGACTAGATTATTACGCGCGCTCTGATTGGCCAAAAACCAATGAACTATTTCCCCATGGGCTGCGCGCTCGCGCACGCTGATCTCAACGGACGCTCGCCTTTTTTCTCTAAATTTTCAAACCCGATGGCGTCAATAGCGCGCGCACGAGCGAGATGGGTGATATAGCGCGCGCTCTGATTGGCTGAAATGCCTATGAACTATTTGCCCATGGGTCGCACGGTAGATTTTTGGTCATATTATAAATCAGTTAGACGACAAAAAAGCGCTCGCCCATGGCGATATAGACGCACTTGAGAAAATATAAAGAACGATTAACAAGCTAGAGTGTCACTCGGCTTCGCCTCGTGCCACTCTTTCGCTTGTTAATCGTTCTTTATATTTTCTCGCGTGCGTCTATATCGCCATGGGCGCGCGCTTTTATGTCGTCTAACTGATAAATTATTGATGGCTGATTGTGGTGATGACGATGATGATGATGGTCATGATGGGGATTACCAATAAAGTATTGTATTGCATCATATGATGATGATAGCATTAATGATGATGATGATAATAATAATGATGACTTTTCTGTTCTTTTTCAGGTCCAGGATGCCCAGGCAGCCATGAGACTGTACATACTCCACAAACGACAATGGGAAAAACAGATAAAAGACAAGAAATTCAAGAGAACGCAAGAAAAAGATGATGACAGCTGATTAATGTTCAAAAACTCAAATGTAAATACGTTGTGTATTGTTAAATAATGCCAGTGAAGTAGAGTCTCCTTACCTTTATGTAAGGTACCATATATAAAAGTCAATATAGATTGGAATACAAGGTGTTTTTCCTGAAATAAGAAACATCTGCATTTGTTAGTCAATAATAATATTATGAATACCAGGTGCTTTATTACTCCAGTAAAAGCTTTTTATTAAGTTCATCAATCAAGAATGATGTTCAATTGTCGAAGCGTTCACGTTTGGAAAAGTATTAAATATGAATTTGATTACTTTCAATAAAACGCGCGAAATCGTACATCAGACCTTTTCAGTCTGAACTCACTTGATGAGTGACTACGAAACAATGGCTTCAAGTCGAGGTTGGAGTCGATGTGTTGTTTTATGGACAGTCAAGGGAATTTGGGAAAATAATATTTGATGCAAAGCGGGATTGATTAGGTTCCTTAGAAGCTGTTCTTATTGTTGGACCGACACTAAGGGACTGACCATTAGATTTTTGAGGAAGGGGGGGGGGGGGGGGGGGCAATTTATTTTGTGCAGGAATTTTTTTTTACGCCTCCTGTCTGTGCAGGAATGTTTTGGACATAATTTGGAATTTTGTTCTGGCTTTTCTCTTATGTACGATTTTTTTTTTCTCTTTAAAACTGTGCTCCAATTTTTTTGGGCTGTTATAGAAGGCTGCGTTATCTGGGTAATTATGCATATCGTAAACTAAGAATAGAGATTTAATTCTGCTTTCGAAAAAGATAGCAAAATCATAACCAAGGGAAAAGGAACTTTCTATTTTCTCTGCGACTTGTCTCGCAACAAATTGCTCCGTGTAATCGCGCCCTTAACCATACTTCGGGAAGATTTCGGAGGGCAGCCAAGCGTGGTCAATTCATGCATGTTGCAAAGGAATTCGATGTTGTGTTAAAAATGAAACACAAGAAATCCCAAAGAACCGAGTCGTCGAAAACTATGACATCGCCTCAATATTTACTTAATTTTGCATTTATTTTTAGGCAGCCTTAGAAGTTATTAATGATCATGAAATTCAGGGAAAGAGTGGTGCATTGATCTGTTGTAGTCATGAAATAAATCCAATAAAAAAAATCGACGAGTTTTGGCAAGATTGTTCTTTTCATGAAAGTGTCTGTAAAACCGCGAGAAAAGTAAACATTGCGTTTTTGTCTTGAAACATATATTTTCCGTTTTGGCGAGATCGCGTTACTAGATTACCTTCTATTTTTTCAAGAGAGTGTTAGGGAAATATGACAATAGAATGAGTGGTGCAGTTGCCCTATTTCACTATGACGTCACATCAAAACTATCTATTGTTTAAACGCAAAGGATCATGGTCGTCGGAGGGGGTCAAATCAACGCAAATTCACCGAAAATTGTTCTAAAACCCGTATCAGTACACGAAGAGAAGTAGAATAGCCAGCAGACTCTCAGAATATTTTTTAGTACATATTAACACATTATATCTGAAAACCAGGCCATTTTAGATTAAACTGTTTCGCTAGGAGCAAATTTTGTTGAATTTTCTATTGGATTTGGCGATCCTATCCCCCACATAAACAAGCAGTGACGTCATAGTGAAATAGGGCAATTTTGGCTACGGGAAATCCATTGTTTAGTTTTCCTATAAATTATACTCTTAATTTAGATATCCCCAAATATCTCCAAATTCGTCTTATAGATTTTATTGCAATTGCGCCCAGAGGAAGACAGACACTCAAGGAATAGGCAGCATGAAGCATTTCGCTAGTAAATGAGGTTAAAGTTAAAATTAAAGTTAAAAATTAGAGTTAAAATAGGTGACGTCATTACCACGTGACGAGAACCGATCTCCACGGAAAAAAAATTAAATTGTAGTTTAGTCTATATGCAACATGTGTGTCTTAGTGGCTATGAAATCGGAAACAATCTCTTAAGGCATGGAAGGTTCAATGTTGGTAAGTGCTTATGCAAAAATATTAGGTCGAGTCACACGTCGAACTTTACATGAGCCGAACCTAATTGTGTAACAAATTGACATCAGTGTTTTATGTGTCTGTCCTCTTATTGACGATCAATTGCTTCATTCATCACATCAGGTCGAAGTAGTGTGGATCAACGAGGCCTAGCCGATGAATGGCGTAGCGTACTCGATGTTTGACCGATCGAATTTGGACCGACTAGGTCAGTCGGGGAAAACGATTGTAGATCGACTTGGGGTCAAACGTCGAACTTCACATGAGCCGATCTAAATGCATAAATCATGTTAGTGTGTGTTTTGCACTCATTTTAATTATTCTTTGTCACCACGAATGCGCTGTTAATGCATTTTTCAATATGACTGAAGTTGAAAATGACTGGAAGTTGACTATGGCAGCTCTAAAATATGGTTAAGYGCCAATATGCAACAAACAACTGATCTTCTAAACAGTATCCGCACATGCGCAGACGTTTTTCACGACAACAAAAATAAGAGCCGGTAAACCGTAAAGGACTCTACGTTAATGAAAAGAAAAATGTTAATAAAATAAAAATAAATAAATCACTTTATTTTTAAATAAAACTTAAAAGTGTCTAGTCGTTCTAGCGCTTTTCGCACTAATTGGGGACACTTTTCGCTCACACGCACTACCACTACATTTAATATTCTATGCACACAACGCTCAACTCACATGTTGATTTTTACGGAGGGAGGAAACCGGAGAACCTGGAGAAAACCCTCGTAGCATAGGAGAGAACAACATATCAAACAAACTCAACTCACATGTTGATTTTATGGAGGGAGGAAAACCAGTGAACCTGGAGAAAAACCCTCGTGGCAAGGGAGAGAACAACACATCAAACAAACTCAACTCACATGTGAAGACCGTAGGGCTCGAACCAGCGACCTGACCCGTTGGACTCCCAGCGGTGAAAGACGACGCGTTAGCCGCGAACGCCACCCATGCTACCMAAATGTGGCAAGTCTGTGACCTCGATAGTCTCCTACGCAGCCGCTATTAGTTTCGTCACGCAACGCTGACTCCCCTAAGTGAGCGTGGCGTGACGACACTAATAGCGGCTGCGTAGGAGACTATGACCTCGACCATTGATTGATTTTTGGCTCCCGCTTTAAGTAAGATAAGAAATAACAAAAATTCTAATTGCTAATTCAAATTTCATAAAGCTTAAAAATGATTAATTTGCGTTACAGATTATGGATGAAGATTGCTTTGAGTTACAGTGCATTTCCATGGTTTAATTCTAAATGTTTAATTTGCAGGGGAAAAGGTTATATATATCTAAACTTGGATTTCAACGGCTTAGATTAATTATTTTCCTTTCTTAAGACTCAAAGTTTCATTCGGGAATTTTTTTCTTTTTTTCCCCACCAGTGATTTCTGGACTTGCGTAGTCGGGATAGACAGGAAAAACTTCGAACTTTGACCACCATCCCATGCCTGGGGCTGCAAAGACATTATTAATGGAGTAGTCATAATCTTTAAGTGTTTTACTTGTGCCAACTACTGGGATCTGTCTAGTCCATTTTTCCCAAATTTGACCGGTTTGACCATCTGTGAAGGTCTTGTCTACCCAATCGTATGAACTACCACCAGCCTTAAGTCTGACCACAAACTTTCTGTAGAGGTTGTTGGAATTGCAATGTACCCGGATTTTATCTGCGTCCGCACCGTCGTCTCCCCTCGCACCTGGATCGATCCAGCAGCTATATGGACGTTGATTTGGGTAACGGGCATAGCGATTGCGACGATCCCTCACGCTCTCTACCCAAGGCACTGGGCGTAGAACGAGTGTCTTTTGGACTGGATCCCAAACCCAACGTTTGTGGGTTGTAACTGGCGTCTTGAACGTCTGCGGGCAAGAATGGGACTGTGTACCACTTCGTTCAGACTCATTTTCTTCTCGACAAACACTGAAGCAAGCGGTAAATAGTGTAGTAAACCGGCTTGGGACAGCAACCACTTCATCACTGTTGATGGGTCCAGCTGCAAAAGCAACACGGTTACCGTGGGTGTTTCCACTTCGATAGTTAGAGTTTCTTCGAGGCTCTCCAAATTGCTCTATACTTCCCTGTGTAGAGCCTCTTCGATACACGGTCACACGCTGGAATTGATTGGCAGGGATTTGACCGTGTGCTAGCCATTCATGGTAAAAGCGATTGTTATCTGCTCTTCTGCGATACCCTTGTTCTTGTGTCCGTCGAAAGGCAGCCATCAAAGAATCGTAGGCGCTGTAAAAGTTTTCACTTGCTCGAATTCTGTAAATGTAAATGGAATCGTGCCTCCCTGCATTCGACTGACTCCAAAGCTGGTTGCCTGCCCAGAGGCGGGCCGCCGATTCTTCGGATGAAGTGGTGATGAAGGCGGTATTGGCTTGGTGATCATTGTAATTGCAAGATCTGCCATCTACGTGGTCGATGAGGTTGTCATTGTTTCCTAAGCCTGTCATTCCGTTTTGGAAAATTTCATCGGGACCACGAAAATCAGCCCTGTAAACGAAGCGGGGAGGATCGTCATTCGCCAACACAACATTTGCCTCCAGCAATGAGCAGGCAGTCACGGCAACGAGATAAAGTACAAAGCTCTTCATCCTGAAGTCAACAACGAATGACTAAAACCTCATTCTCTTACTTGCCCTATATGTTAAGCCTCACCAGCAAATAAGCTCTGTGCAACGAGCGAAATCCATTACATAATCTTAGACAGGTACATAGTTTTAGAATTAGATTATCAGAAACTGGTTGCTCGTTGTCATAACGAATCAGACCACAGGTATGCAGTCCAAAGGTCTGAACGGAATCAGTGATCCCCGTCCATTTTTTGCTTTTTTTAGTTTTTGTTGAAGGTTAAAAGAATTCCGAGCTATTAATAATTAATTTGAAAGATTTCTTTTTGGATATTGATGTCGTCAGTGGTATAGTTTCTACTTTCTATTCCATTGATATTCACATCCTTTTTGAAAATAAATTGCTCATTTTTCATATTGGACATATCGTGATATCTTAAGTGATACCATTACTACCAGAATCCTCTTCAGATTTATGTAGTGTTTGCGATAGAGCAAATAGAGTGAACGCCGTATACACTCAAAAAGAATCGTTGTCGGGTTCAGAAACACAGAACATACTTAGAAGCTGAGACAGAAATGGCACATGGGAAATGACATAATTATATTATAATTTATTCATTTGCGTCATCCATGTAGTCGGTTTAGAATGYCAAACGCGTATTAAAAACAGTGGATGATGCCACGGGTCGCCAGTCACAGCATGCATCTATTAACGTACTTCCCATGTGCCATTTCGGTCTCAGCTTCTATGTTCTATGTTTCGAACCCTGAACCCGACAACGATTCTTCAATTGAGTGTATATGTGAAACAAAAACGAAGAAGGTATTACCTATTAAGGCTCTGACAAACGCGAAACCCAACATTTGTCGGACGCAATAATAATAATAATAATAATAATAATAATAATAATAATAATAATAATAATAATAATAATAATAATAATAATAATGATAATAATAATA